AGCATTCCCGTCTCGTCGTTTGCCCGCCAGTGAACGCCGCAGCGTGGTTTGTTTTTGTTGTTGTGCTCAACTTGTTTCGTGGATGGGTGAGAATTTTGTTGCGCGGTTGGGTGCCACAACTACCGGGCACCACATGCCAGCCAAAACGTGACGTTCCACACTTTTCCGCGAGACGTGCAAAGACAAGCAAAATAGATCGCCGCCGTGCGTAAGGACTGAGTTCCCGTCAAGATCGAGATCCCGCTTATGCAGCAATCACCTCACAGAAGAAAGCTACGAGCTGAGCTCTAAGCGGACAGAAGGCTCGTAAGCTGAGGTGTGATGTTGTGCCAACGATATTCAACTACGTTCACCCACTCCTCGCCCGAATCGGATCAATCGGTTAGATTATGCAGCGAAACCGAAACCAACAGCTAGGCCATCTGGAAACGATGCCAAAAGTTGTATTTAGCACGCGTCCTGCCAGATTCTGTTTGACCCGCGCGTGAAAATAGAGCGTGGCTACGATTCGCCAAACTCGTCAAAGTGACGACATTCATTTGAACGATTCGTCTTTTGCCTTCCACCCGCGGACATCGCCTCCGAGGGAACGACCCGAGCCTCATCACCGATCCAGGGTATCCGCCGATTTGATATGTGTACCCAGATGCCGCTTCATGTACCTACGCATGCCGCTTCAGAGGCAAAATCTGATTCCTTTGCTTTGCAAGCGCTCCTAGTTCGATCGGCGGCCGTCGCAGTTGTGTTTGCGCGAAACGCCATAACTTTGTTCCAAGCTTATGGCTTTTTTCGACTAATATGCTGCTAAAAAACGTGAATCTTTTTGCACACGCTTGGCAACTGCATTAAAAGAGCCGTATTTCAGTAGGGTACAGCCTAGGAGGCTATAAATCGCAACAAAATACAAGACATCTATCGACAAACCTTTCCGTTTTGTGACGTCACGCAGTGGCTACGGATGTCAGCCATTGACACTGGCGAAATGTGGGGTGCAGTTTCGTACATCCGCTCATGAAAATTGAGATCATATATAAAAATAAAATGAGGGTTGTCTACATGAAGGCTCCTTCAACGGAACGAGCGCTAGAACTGATGTACTATCGGGGAAAAATGAAATGCGAACAGAGGAGCGCGTGGCTCGTGGTACAGGCTGCGCCGCCTAGAAGTAAACCTAGGGGCGAGGGTGCGTGGCCTACTTCGATGTGTTCACGCCCCTCGATTGGCGCTCCCCCAGCTTCGGCAGTGCGCCTCTCAGTGCGCTGAAAGCTGTCACCGCTATCTTTTCCTGCTCGGCGAGTGCGGCGAGCTTCTTTGCACCGCACGCGCTGAGCCAGCAAAGATAGCCGTGATAGCTTTCAGCGCACTAGAGGCGGACTGCTGAAGCTGAGGGAGCGCCAATCGAGGGGCATGAACACATCGAAGTAGGCCACGCAACCTCGCCCCTAGGCTCACTTCCAGGCGGCGCAGCCTGTACCGCGAGCCACGCGATCCTCTGTTCGCATTTCAGTTTTCCCCGATAGTACTTTCGGTTTCGACCGAACAACCCCTTTAAACATATCTAGTATTAATTGGATTTCACCGCAAGCCTCTGTACACTCTCAAGAAAAAAGGGTGTAAAAGGGTATATCGTTACACCCTTTGTCCCAAATAATATACCGCCAAAACTTCGCTTCGACGTACAGTGCCCTGCAGTGAAACAGACGGCCCTAAATTTTACGTGGGGCTTAATAGCCGAGTGGTAAAACTTATTAAAATAGCTAATGTACGTTTTACCGACTACAAAAAAAAAAAAGAACAATCGGGGTTTTCTGGGCCCCACAGTAAAAACTCGGTGCTTCCTTTATGTGGTCTTTGATACGTACTTTAGCTATTTAAAAAGTTAATATCGCACCGTTATCAAACCCCTCGTAAAATTTGGAGCCGTCTGTTCGACTATAGGGCCCTGTACGTCGAAATAAAGCTTTGGGGTGTATTATATGGGACAAAGGGTGTAACAATACACCCTTTTACAGACTTTTTTTTAGAGTGATAGTCGTCTTGCTAAGAACAGGAAAGTCATCCACGTATCTGAAGACTTTAAAACTTTCCTGTTCTCGTAGTTTGTCATTGATGTTTCTTCCACACCTACTTAGAAAAATATTGCACACAGCGGCGTACCAACTCGTTTTTGAGTGGGAGGGCAAGCCAGACCCTTTCCCCCGGGTCGGTTACTTTTACTAGTGATGGGCCAAACTTTTGCGAATCTAAAATTCGGTGCAGCTTTTGCCGAACTTTTTTAAAGATTCGGCAATGATTCGGCGAAAATGCACTGTTACCAGACTTAACATTGGTATTTAGTTTTCTTCTGACGAAATAAGGTTAATGTTTTTTTTTTTTTCTTAACTTTAATACAGGGGGTTTCATTTGAAATCGAACACGCTCGTCGGGGTGGGTCGTTCGATTTTGTTAAATATATGTAATTACCCTATTTCTCGAAAGAACAAAACCTTTCTTCCGATTTTTTAAAAATATATTTTGCTTCAGATGAACTCATTGAGTGGAGCAAGGTGAAAACCTGTTTATTACTCCATGATTTTTTTACCTAGTTCTGTACGCTGGTATGAATACAGAAAGCATACAAAACTCACAGTAATTTTTTTTGTGATCCTGTATGTTATTTCGACTATTTTTTAGTTTAAAGAAAAATACTTTTATATTTTTGTTTATTGAGGTAAAAAATGACAAACATCATCTCTTTGACAATCCGGTAAATCAAAAAAAAAAAAAAAAAAAAAAATTCAAAGACGGAATTTAAGTCAGACAGGTGAAGTGTGCGTGTTTTTCAAAGCAACGCGTGACGCATTCGAGCTTATATTGTATCCAGTGCTTGACTGTTTCTCTATCTTGATAACGATGTCAGAGTTTTTTATATGCTAAAAAGAAAACAAAATGATACTTTTGTGGAAAGACTATTATAGTTGAATGCCGTATTCTTGAAACCGTGGCGTTAATTGGGGGAACACGTTGCCGCAATTTGTATTACTATTAATATTAAAACTAAAATTAAGATATTTTAATACGCAATTTACAAGCTCTAAAATAATTACTTGCTTATGATCTAATTTCTAAAGCGCGAACAAGTATGGCAAACAAAAGTGTGCTAATTATCATCACTGGTTCTAATTGCAGCATTTTTAATTAGCAAGTTATAAAATAAATATAGTCTAAAATCAGTGAAAACATTTTAGCTAATGTGAGAAATTCATGTAAAATTATATTAATTACGGGTGCTATAGAAGTCGTGACTTCTGAACTCGCCGCCAATATCATTCCAGACCAAATGCCCCCCCCCCCCCCCCCCCAAAGAAAAATAATTATTAATTTTTTATAACATTTATTTACTTTCATTTTTAAGCGCCGTCGTTTTGCCCGTTTTAGCCTTTCCAGTTCGAAGGGACGCCTTCCTCTTGCGCGTCTGCTCACTGCAGCATGTCTCGTTTGGCGTTGGAAACCGGTGAAACAGGAGCGAGTTTTAGTATTGCGTATACGAGCGAACGCAAGCGCTGTGTGTTGGCGTTAGCTTTGCATGTTCCACACTGCGCGTGAGCGTGGACCAAAATTTTAGTTTTGGATTGGCGCATGGCGATGACATGCATGCGCAATGTGGAGCACGTCACTCTAACGCAAACGCACACCGCTTGCGTTTGCTTCTATACGCAATACTTAAACACTCTAGTAAAGTACAATCCCATACCGGCTGCAGCACTCCATTGGGACAGTGAAGAGTGTTGTTTGTATTCGGAAACGACATTTCGCGAGCCATGATCGCGAGCAGTTCCGCCATGCCCGCTGAGCAGGAGAATCAGGGGACCCTCACTAGAGCGCTTCCCGTTTCCGCCGCGGGAGGGCGAGCGTCCAGCTGGAGACGCGAATAGTGCGGAGGACGAGGATTCTGACGGCCCCGGTGACTTTGAGTTTTCCGCTGCGTTGTGGTAGCGGTCTAGACGGCCCTTTTTAGGGCGCCCATATTTTGCAAACGGAGATGCTTTCTCATTGCGGCACCCCGTGTTTCCGTAAACAATTCACAGAAAAGACCCAGCAAAGGTGGTCCTCAACTAAGATTTCACGCGTTATGATTCAAGCAAAAATTTATCTTGGTTATTTCGCGCCTTTGATCCCGATAAATGCCCCCGTTACAGTCATCTCGCTGTGCTCTTGCTTGCTCAATCTCCGTAAGTGTGTCTCAGCATCGTCGTCTTTGCCAGCGGCGCACCGGCGAACACGGCTGATCTGAGACACCGCGTTCGGCTTTGGCTAGCAGACGGCGTTCGTAAAATGGCGTCAGCTGTTGCTGGGTTCACGCGGTGGTACCGTGCGTGCTTCCATTCAATCGGCGTTCGTTGCCATGATGACGGCGATGAAAGCAGACGGCCTTTATGTTGCGGAAGAACACTGCGGCGCAGCAATACAAGGTGCGTGCTGAGGCCCTTCCGCATGTTTTCAATGAATGGAAGGCGAACAAAAAGAGCTCAAAATAAGGGCTTAACGCAGAAGGCTGCTTTTCTTCGGCGCCTTATAATTTGACGAGCCTTACACAAAAAACGTGTTTTTTTTGGCCATCCCGCGCCCTGTTTCTTTTATTTTTTATCCGTAACATGGGTCTTAGCTTAAAGGTCGAACTGCCAAAAGACAAAATAAGGCAAGTTTCTTCAGTTATTAACGTTAGGGAGTGATGCCAAGTTGCATTTAGCGAATGTAGTCAAATTGATTGCCCCAAGAGGCAAACACGCCCCAAGAGGCAAACACATTGAAGTTTGACGACAGCCGCCACCAGGCTGCAGACACGTCTGATTTGCCGTCGCCGTGCGCTAAAGCTGCGCTCTGTGCGAGACGCTGCAGGACGGGCTGTCGACGTGGCCGACAGAAACTAGGCAGCGTTCTGTGGAACCACTAGTAATGACGTTTGTAGGAGAAAGTGATACGAGTGTGTGGAAGTGGTGTTATAAGACGCGTAAACATACCACGATCCCACGCCGAAGTAGCAGCCGTACGGTACACCAGCGCTGTTGCTCACGGTCACCTTCATTATCGGATCGGCTGTCAGTGGCTGATAAACTTGCATCCCGTAGCTCACTTGCAACGTTCCTCCAACCATTGCACCCCTGACGGAGATTCCCCTGAGGACGACCCGTCTCGGCGTTGTAACTAAAAGCGAAATAAAAACAAAATATAGCGCAATGTCAGTGCTGCCTAAGAAAGGTCGGTGCTATTTCCAATGTTGAGTAAGAGCGCCGAGGTAGCGCTCCGGTGTATGTGTGAACAGTCCTTTAAGCATAGCTTGTTCAGTTGCTCTAGGCTGCACATATCTAGCTCTCGAGAATTTACAACGACTCGTTTTTTTCCAAAATGTGAGTCCTTTCGCTTTCGATGGTTTTCTAGAGGGAACTGCCGAAAGAGAATCGTCTGCTAAAGATTTGAGAAAGAACGTCTGGCAAGTATTAGAGAAAACGGTGATTTTGGAGATTAACATATCGCGCAGGTCGGCACCCCTCTTCGTTGTGACGCTCATGGCGGTACCGGTACGATAGCGTTCCAGAGTTTTGGCTGGCTCGTAAAGGTCCGTTCACACGCTTACGTTCCCTTACGACCGAGTTCTTGGGATCTCTTAAAACGTAAGAGCACACTTCCACGCTGGCACCATCTATCAGGTGACCCTGGAACTGCATCTAAGTAGAGGAAAGGTTTTGCGGCATTTGAGATATCAAATGTGGGTACTACTTATCTTAAATATAGTCGTTTCTAAAATTATCGAAGGCTTTTTTTTTTACCCAAGGAAGAAAGAATGACGCGCGAAAAAAAAAGGAGAAAATATAGGGAAATGACAAGTGCTTCACCCGATAGTTGGAGCCAGTGTGTTCTCTCGTCGAAAGAGGTCTCAAGAGGTTTTAAGGATCACATTCGTAAGCAGTAGCAAGATGTGTGAGTTACTTTTAAGAAGATTTTTAATCTGGTTACATTAGACTGTAGTCAGCATTCCCTCAGATACATTTGTTACTCGTAAAAGTTACGAGTCAGTAATACACAGCTCATAGAAGCGCCCCCTTAATAAAAGAATGCAATATATTACGTCAGCGCTGCCGCGAATACGTGCAAAATGAAGCCATTCTAACTACAGATTATAGTATATTTAAGGAGAGAGAAACTCTTTCGTGCAAAAATAGCAAAGGTTGTTCTTTGAGGAAAGACCAAAAGTAGTAGATGTTGAGTTCTTAGTTGACGATGGATGTTTGTTTACGTCATCCTCTTTTTGCTGCTGATTCTGTTACACCTCTGAGGCAGATTTCATCGTTAAGAACCCAATAAATGAGTTAGTCGGTAACAAAAGACGCATAAAATCTTTGTTTGTAAATGAGAAACTTACAATCCGGAAAGCACTCGTCTTGTCTGCTGTCCGTCTATATCCTTGTCTATTGCGCGCAATATGAACTACCTATCAGAAATTTAGCCTGCGCCTTACGGCCGCGGCCACTAGCTTTGGAGCTTTAACGCGCATCCCGCAGTAGTGATGCATGTGCGCACTCCAGTACGATCTTCGTGTATAATACCGGGGTCTATCGAGAAAATAAAACGCGGTTTTTCGGCCCTCAAAAATAAACTGTACGTATCATAAAAAAACTAAAACTCCGTGAGGACGTCATACTAGTGGTGGTGACAAAATGCGAGAGCTTGAAAACGGGACGTTACTATTATCTCTAATTATAAAAAAAAGAAAAAAAAAACTTGACAAAATACTACATAAAATTGCAATTAATATTACTTATGGAACAACCTACACAGGGTTGGGAATGAATGAATAAAAAAAGTGATGTCTTAAAGCTGTTATACATAGAAAAACTGCACTTCTATGTTATTTTAGTAAAGCACCATTATAAGAGCCACTTTGAAATAGTATTAAAAAGGAACTAACATGCTTGGGAGAAAAGCGCGTTGGTTCAAGTCATGGATGAAGAAAGAATGAAACAATTAAAACTGGGACAACCCAACCACATCTTTCAACAAGCAACAGACGAGTAAAATTCCCAACAGCGAACAGCCGACTATAACTAGGAGGGAAAAGCGGGAGAAGGGGAAAGAAGTGGAGATAAAAAGAAACAAAACGCAAAGTGCAAGTCAGAGAGGTGGGTTTATTTCGAATTTTAGAAATTCAACTTCAGTTTTCGTCAGCAGCAGGGAAGGGTTTGACACGTTGTTGTTTGCTGTGGTCACGGCGAATGTCTCCATGATCTCCCTGCTGAACCTGCTGTCCTTGTAGCCTTACATTCACGAAGGAAGCACCTTCCAATGAAGGTCTTCAGTACCTCGATTTGCGGCTTCATGTCAGTGCCACTGGACTCTGCTGGGCCTTTCAACAAAGGTGTGTAAAACCTGTCCTAGCGTTTTCTAGCGCCCATTCTAAGTCGGTAAAACACGGTACCATCAAATCGTTGTTTTCTTCATCCTTCACGAGGTTTTGCTGCCATCTTTCAGAAGATAGCTTCAAATTCCAGCACATGAGGCTCGTCAGGGCAGGGTTTCCGGTCGACCTTCTACAATCAGTAATGGAAAGGCTGATTCATGGGCCTGATCGCCAGTCACCAGCCACAAAAAAAAGAAAGCCTGATTCGCCGTCATTCCTTAGGTGCACAATTCAGCCCACCGAATAAAATACATTTCTTCAAAGTTCGACACGAATGTTGTCTTTTCGTGCCGCATGCGTCCTAAACAACCCTGTCAAAAAGGGAACAACAACCGAATTCCGTTTAGCTGCAATGCTAAACACGAAAAGAAATCCATTCCATGCAAAAAGAAGAACGTTTACTCCATCCCCTTGAGCTGCGGCCATCAATACATAGGTCAGACCGGCAGATGCATCAATCACGGAGTTCGGGAACATCACAACAAAGTTTCTAAGGCCTCTCCAGATTCTTATCATCACATGGTCATACATGCCCGTTTGTGTTTGCTTTGGGATTCCCTCTTTGGTGAAACAAAAATCCTGAGGGGGGGGGGGGGGGCGTAACAGTAGATTCGGCAGGGAGATCATAGAGTCATTCGCCATGACCACAGCAAACAACAACGTGTCAAACCTTTCCCTGCTGCTGACGAAAACTGAGGTTAAAGTTCTAAAATCCGAGATAAACTCACCTCTTTGACTTGCACTTCGCGTTTTTTTTTACCTCCCCTTCTCTCCCCTTCTCCCCTCTTTCCCTCCTGGGTATAGTCGGCTGCTCGCTGTTAGAAACTTTACTTGCCTGTTGCTAGTTGAACGATGTGGTTGTGTTGTCCCAGTTTCAATTGTTTCATTCTTTCTTCATCCATGACACGAATGAACACTTAAGCACATAAAACGTTTTGTTATACCGAAGATTTATACAGATTATGGAGAACAAAAAGACGGGCTTATTACGTTCCATCTTATCTTAAAAGGCTTCCAGAAACTTACTATAAAATGAAGTCACTGAAACAAGTAATAAATGAACTAAAAGATTCTTGTTTCAATTCGGAAATGTAACCTGGCTTTATTGCCTTAGCATTCCACTGAGTTGTCTCTTTTCTTCTTGTACGCTTTTGTTCTGTGCCAGTAAAGCACAGATCAGGATTTCAGTGTAAGCAGCCCGCTGGACGCCAGGTTCTGCATACAAGCAAACCAGTGCTTCGCGGGCCTGCATTTGTAACATGTTTACGATCCGAATAAAATTCTTCTTATTATTAATATTATTATAAAATTGACGAAGCTAGAGCTCGCATATTGAGACATAGGCGTCGCGTTCCATATGCATATTTAAAACGCAGCTTCATTAAAAACACCCATATAAGTTAAAGAAGTGGGGGAGGGCCGTTTCAGCTCATATTCTCCACAGTTGTACTATGCGGAGAGCAAGTTCGTCTGGTTTTCTTGCAGGAGTTGTGGTGACGTCAGAACACCGAGCTCTGATTGGCTCTAACGGAAAGATAGTGGGTAGACCTCAAGGCAGCTTGCTTTGAGGTCTACCCACTATCCTTCGATCGGAGGCAATCGGAGCTCCGCGTCTTTCTAACGTCAACGCAAACTCACGTGCAAGAAAGCAGACAGACGACTTGCACTTCTCATAGAGTTACTGTTCGGGAAGCTCTCCTTCCCCCTGAAACAGGAACGAGATATTTAAATATAACGCGAAATAAAATATTTAAGCAGCGTAGACTCCCAGCGCGACGGGAAAAAGGCGTCTGGGCCAACTAGAGCGTTCTACGATACGTTTTGCAGTGGAAGGTTTTTCTAACTTACCATTACAAAAGCTCAGCCTTGGATTTTGAACTTGAGCCATAGAGTTATGGAGAAGAGCCAACAAGGCGAGAGCAACCATTAATGTGGCGACGCCGACTGTCCCAGGCATGATGTCTGACTGATTGAAATGCACTGGCTTTGAACGCAAACCCCTTACGATGTTTCAAGATTTTTATAGTAGCATAACAAAAATCCGTAAATGTCGAACGAAGATGAGCTCGCACAGATGCTACTAGTGTATTTTTATTGATGTCGGCATGCACGGTTCTTTTACACTCATTGATTTTTTTTTCCTCGAATTGATTCATATCTGTCTAGCGTCACAGGAAGTTCATGTCGTGACTTCTTCTGTACCTACGTTTACCGAAAAGCTATAAACAAATGCGCGATACGAATGAGTAACTGCTAATCAGTCACACACATGACACTGTGAATTGAAAGGATGCGGGCACCACTAGCACGAGTAACAGCGTATCGAAACTCAATATATTCATCATCATCTGTACCCGAAGCCAACAAACTTTTTGTGTGATCTAAACTCGCGCGCTAGCTTCATATTTAATTGACACGCTTCTGGAAATCCCTGTCGTTGCTTCGGCAGGTAGTGAGACTGTCAATCAGAGGGGGTACTGCCAGAAAGCCATAAATAAATCAGGCGTCCGCGCGCTCTTCCTATCGGACCCTTATATTCGCCGAAATGCCAGATTTGGTGAAGCGATGGAGCGACCAAGATATTTTACTCGACTTAAAATAAACTGTGTTCTTCATTGCATGGCGCCCTATAGCAACGCGATTCAACCCCCCCCCCCCCCCCCCCTTTTAAAGAAAAAAAAACTATTTGTCGCACTGGGTAGGCTACACTCACGCGCGGCGTTTTCACGGAATTCCAAACTTTATGCGTTTTTCTTTTTTTTTTTCTTAGTTTGCAGAAGCTGTGCGATTAAGTTTGGTTGGACAGGTCACGCAGTATCAATTGCGCAGTTTTCACAGCGTCGTTGGTTAAACCAGATCTCCAGCTCGAGCCTCCAAAATGCTCGGCCGAACTCCATTGCAGGCTGCACGAGTACAATTTGGAAGAAAAGGCCCGCCTGTGACGTCATCATTAGTGGGTTTCCGATCCGACCCCAAGCGGTCATCGCGCTCAAGTTCAACAAAAAACGCCGCACAGACGCCTCAAACCTGTTTTCCTATATCCACCTTGTGACTGTGTGGGTGCGTGACGACTCTTGGTTCACTATAGGGAGCAATTCCATGGAAGCTACGCTCTAGACATGCACCAGAGTCGTGCTTTCAGGTTGCCGACACGTACCGGCACGAACAAAATATCGCGAGTGAAGTTACTTCGACTATCTCGAGACGAGGGACGCCACTGACGCCGCCGAGTGTGGGTGATCGCAGGATGACGGCATTGGCAGACGGTGTTAGCCTACTTCGATGTTCTTGCCGACAGATGGCGCAGCGTGACAGACGCGGTAGTCCGGCGCCGGCGCCGCGGCACCTCGGCCGACCACTTTGTATGACCATGGGCCATTATGGAGCGTATAAATGCAGTGTGCACGGTGATCTGGGACACAAACCTTGAATACCAAAGCGAGCGAGTCAAAACAGATAATTGTGCATGTCAGAGACTCGCGTCGTGCTGAAGGAAGCTTAATAAAAACGTTCGGAAGAGAGTCTGCTGAAACCAAAACCCGGTTCGGCGACTCCTGCGGGGAAGCTCGTTGGGTACCTCCGGCGCCTGGGGGAAGTAGGTGCCTACCGCCGATGCCTTGCCGTTCACAAAGTAGTTGAATGCTTTGAGGGATTGGTAGGTTCTCGGGTATTTGGACCAGTCTAGTCGAATAGGTAGTCCTGAAGCTGCACCCACGACATCTTCGACAGATTTGTCAGTTCTTTGGTGAACAAGTGCTTTTTCTCTTCACCCAAAAGAACGGGAAGGGATCTCGATCCCGTATAAGTAAATTTCGGGAGGTACCATATTTAGTCCTCGGAAGTGAGACTTAAAGTATGCGATTTTCACTGATGGACGTCAGGAACAAGCAAAAACAATAGCCAACAGGAAGTAATATCCCCGCACAAGAAGTTCCGCCATTCTATGTTTTTCGTTTACCTCCGCGTACCCTGTATAGTTCGATCTCCTCGCCAATACATCCGGGCCTGCACGTAACGCGTCAAAAGCCTAATTATGCTGACAAAGAGCAGGGAGCACAGAATGTCTCCCGCACGAACCACACATCTTGTTTATTTTTATTTACGCTTTGTTTGTCTATTTTCAGTTATTTATTTACCGGATTTAGCGCGGAAACTGACTGTACATCGTAACGTCAATTTTTTTGCTAAATTTATTGAGGAAGCTGAATTTGTACATAGGCTGCATGACGTCAGGGGGCATGACGTAAATTTTACCGCAAAATTTAACTGGGAAGATGAAAGTTAGGTGACGTGAATTTCTCTGCTAAAGTTCGCTGGAAACTGGCGGTATACGGGTCTCGTGACATCAACCTTCCTGCTAAATTTCGTGATAAAATTAAATTTATGTATACGACTCGTAACGTCAGATCACGTGACATCACTTTTTTTTTAATGTGTACGCTCGTTTATTACGCTCGCTTGTGGCTTTCGTTCATGACTCGTTTATGAGGCTCGTCCATGACGCTCGTTCATGACGCTCGTGCGTCGCAATTTTCTCGAAGAAAATGAGCCCTAAAACATATTTAGCGTTAAAAGCGACATTGATTTTACTGCACATAGTACCGTCAACTGTTCGTCAACGAGCCGTTATAAAAACGGAAAAAAAGGAGGGCGAAATGATAGTAAATTCTGCCAACTCGTGTCAAGGCTCGCACCTGTGACACGACGCTCGAGTCTTGGGTATAGACCGTTTTCGTGTGACGGTTGCCATGTTGAAATATGACCTAGTTGTGTCAGGCGACAAAAATTAAAGTAAACAGTTTAAGCGTAGCTACAATATAAACAAAATATATGGTTAAGAAAGAAGTACAACGATCGGCACGAATTCCTGGAATCGACAAGTGAATTGATTCGCTATTTTTCCCCCCACTGAGCTTCGCCAGAATTCACCATGGCAGCAGCCACGATACGAGACTCTATACTATTGGCCGATTAGAACGTCAGAGCCGTCTGCAAACCTCGGTTAAAACTAACACGTGCCTATTATTTTTTTTTTATGTATTCACTACTTTTCGCTTTACCGTAAGCTCCACCCCACAAATGCTACACTCCGACGGAGCCAAAAGTCCAAAGACACCTAAGCACTTCTTTTGAGTTGTGAATGCGAAAGCATGAAAGTCGCTTTTCCGCTCCCTTAGTTCGTCTGCGGCGTAGTGGCGTGGACGGCCACGTTTCGCCAGTCGACGGTCGAACGAGCGCTCTTGTGATGTGGCCGCGCCGCGCTGAAGTCGGCCGTGCAGCCTCTCCGGAGTTTGCCCGGGCGGGCTGCCAGCTCCGTGGCCACCGCTCCCTCTCACCGACGGCCGGGCCGTTTAAAGTCCCTTGATACCTCTTCTTACAAGTCAGGACCACCGATAGAAACGACCAAACACATTCAGCTGGAGCAAAATGGCGTCATTCGGCTCATCTTCTGTTTGTTTCCGCCATTCGCTTCCTAAGTCCGGCACCGTCACGTAGTCGGCGCTTCAAAATATGTCGCTACTTGTAGGAAGCTCTTCTTTAGGAACTTTAGGGCCGCTGCGTACGCTGCGCTGCCATGAAGAGGGCTCATCTGGGGGCGGGTTTCGGAACTACGCCGCACGAAATCCAATGGCAGCCTTGTTCCTTGATGACGCGCTCGAGCCAATAAAGTAATTAACTGAGCGGAAAGAAACTGGGGCATTAAATACCTACTTACGCAGAATGATTATAGTTTTTGTATATTTCTTGGGTTTGATTATATTGTCCCTACATCCTGGGCATTCTGACACGTGAAAGGGTGAGATTTCAAATTTGGGCTTGTTGGCATTTGGACGTCAATTATAACTATTTATTTAATTAATTTGTTCTACTCACGAACGGCTGATGCCTTGGTAATGATGCACAAACAACGAGATTATAAATCGGACAGAACGAAGTGGAATGCTAAACAGTTTAAGTTAGGAATAAGATATAGTAAAAGGGGATTACGTACGGTATTGTTATTACAGTTCGTGTGTATAAGCCTTCATTTTCTTGTGATTAAAAAAGGTAAATAACTGCGATTTGGGTTGTTTTTGGCGATATTTCACACTTATTTGAAATCATTGCAATCATCCATAGACAGGGCTGGGCAGAGGTACTCCAAAAAGTGTCCCGGACTACAGATACTGAGATACGTTTATTCTAAGAACAAAGCACAGATACTGAGATACATTTTTCTTTTATGTAAAGGCAAACTACGACTGAATTCATTGCCTTGTCTACAGAATTGTTTCGTCTCAAATAAAAACAGGCGTCTCTTGGGAATACTGGATCTCAGGATTCATTAACAGTCGGGGAATCTCTTCGTTGCCTTGGAGCATTCAATTATCCTTTGTTTTACGTAATCACATTCGATGGTCAGCGAGACACGGACGGTTAAGTTCATTTGATATGGATAACAAAAATGTACTTACAGCTTTATTCTGTTCTATTGATAGGTGAAAATAGAAGTCCGCCAAAAAGCAAAACAAAAAAAAATTCGCTTATTAAAAAACAAATCGAAAGCTTGTATTTTGCTGGCATTTTTACGTTACCTGCACCGCGGTGTGCTCAATGGAACTAATGATTGACACATGAAATGACGCAATGGCAGCACTTTCAATCCTACGCCCACATTCGGAAGCCGTTGTATTTCTTCGAAAGCGTCTCACGACTTACGAGCAGAAGTACTGAACTTTCCGTGCTAGGTTGACTGGCGTCTTCTTGGTAATGAACATTATATACATTCCTTTAATGATTTATTCATTGACAACATACCGCCAACACGGGACTGGCACAAGGAGAAGTGCAGAAAAGAGCTGCAAGCAAAGACGAGCTTCGCAATATTTACGCACTCAATCACGGATCAAAAGCCACTCACTTTTGTTTTATCCACCGTACACGATCGCTACACGCGTGCGGAACGACATATGTAATGTCTCTCGT